CAGAATGAAAGTAGCTTTTCCAAAGACCCTTCAGGTTAAGAGTGGAAGGTATGAAAAGAGAGGGCTTTGAGAAGCAAGGAGAAACTCTATGCCACCTGGTGGGAAAATGAAATCAACAAAGATTTTAAACAATGAAATGACCACATCTGGCTTTCATTTTTTAAAGGACCACTTTGAATTGTGTGAAGATAGATTATAGGTTGAGATTGGGGGGGAAAAAAAAGAGCAGCTAGGAACCCACTGAAGTAATTTAGACAAGAAATAAAGATCTGAGATAAGATGGTCTTAATAACAATGAAATAAAGGAAACAAGATTAAGGTATTAGGGAGGGAAAATCTGTAAGATGGTGATTTATTGCATATATACAGAGAAGAGTCAACAGATTTCTAGCTTATTCAATTGTGTTGATTATGGTATCATACCATAGGAAAAGAGGAAATGGAATTGATTTAGGAAAAAGAAAACATTACATTCAGTTGTAGACATACAAAACCAAGAAGCCTGTGGGTTTTCCAGATGCTCAGCATGTGGTATGAAAGCGAGAATAGATCTGGGAGTCAAGTAATATAGGTCAAAGAATTGTCAGTGTATAACTGAAGCCATAGAATTGAATAAGCTCATTTTGGGGGACATGAAACAGAGGAAGAGAAGTCCACAATGACAACTATGCAGGAGAAACCAAAGTAACTGGAAGAGAACCAGAACTATTAATAAGTAGTGCAATAGCCATTGGAGGGCAGAATGAAAATAAGGAGGAGTAGATCAACTGTGCAATATGCTGCAAAGTGGTAAGTAAGAGGAGGGGGGCAGGTTCCATGAAATTAGGAAATTACATATTTATAGGGTTTTCGTAGAACACTTTTAGTTGGGTAAGATACCAGATTACACTGACTTTCACAGTTGACAGAAGAGAAAAAAAGTGGAGACATCAAGTATACTCAGTTTTTTCAGGAAGAAAGCAAACTATAGAGTGGAAGCTAAAAGAAAACATAGCTCAAGAGAGTAGTTTGTTTTAATAGGAAAGTCTATACATGTTTAAATGATGATGGGAAACAGTGATTCTCCTAAAGGGTTGAAATATAAAGCCCTTGGGAAGAGTGGAGCAATAAAACTGTTTGCAGTTAAGTGTTTTAAAACTAAATAGGAAAAAAATAATTCTTCCATGTAGATATACAAGAAAACTTAAGAAAACAAACATCCAAAACATCATTCTGGATTAAATAATAAAACTCATTAGTACTTATTTACCATAATCCATTTCAATAAAGCCAGTATTAGAAATATTTTTAATAACCATTCACTGGACATCTATTACATGCTGGATGCTAAGGCCATCTAAGGTATTCTACTTTCCCTAAAGTACCCACAGTTTAGTGGGAGAGACAGACACGATAAACTACAGACATACTTCATTTTATTGTCTTGCTTTACTCTGCCTCACAGATAATGTATTTTTGGCACAATGAAGGGGTGCAGCAACTCAACTATGTCCAGCAATGATACTGGTGTCATTTTTCCAGCAGCATGTCCTCACTTTGTGTCTCTGTGTGGCATTCTGGTAATTTTTGCAGTATTTCAAACTTTTCATTATTACTCTATCTTTTATGATGATCTGTAATGAGTGATCTTTGAAGTTACTATTGTAATTGTTTTGAGGTGCCATGAATTGTGGCCATATATGACAGAGAACTTAATGAATAAATGTTATTTGTATTCTGACTGCTCCAACCAGCCATTCTCCTCTCTCTCTCCTTCTCCTCAGTTCTTCCTACTCCCTGAGACACAACAGTATTAAAATTAGGCCAATTAATAATCCTACAATGGCCTTTAAGTGTTCAAGTAAAAGGAAGAATCACATACCTCTCATTTTCAATCAAAAGCTAGAAGTGATTAAGCTTAGTGAGGAAGGTGTACCAAAGTCAAAAACTAGGCCTCTCTACCTGCCATCCAATTGGTACTGACAGCCTAAAACTATGGTGTTCAAATAATTGTAGTGTTCAACAGGGATCTGAGGGGGGAGACCCACATCTTAAGGATGTAATGAGCATTGTAGGGGGGAAAGGATTACCTCTATCCCTTTTTCAGGAAGAGGCAAAGAAACACACTGTAACCAAAATGTCTAAAAAAAAAAAATTTTTTTTTTGTTAATGGGAGGTGAACAGGTGGAAGGAGGGAGAAGAGGAAGGGTACGCACTTTCATGGTGGGTGCAGGGCACACCACTTGAAGACTGGACACACTTGAAGCTCTGGCATAGCAGGGTGGGGAGGGGGACAGGGGCAAGATATGTAACCCTAACAATATTTGTACCCACAGAATTTGGGAAGAAATAAATAAATAAATAAAAACTAGGCCTCTTGCACCAAACAGCCAAGTTGTGAATGCAAAGGAAAAATTCATGAAGGAAATTAAAAGTGCTACTCTAGTGAACATATGAATGATAAATGAAACACCCTTATGGTTGACACAGAGGTCTCAGTGGTCTGGATAGAAGATCAAACCAGCCACAACATTCTCTCAAGCCAAAGCCTAATCTAGAGAAAGCCCTAACTCTTTTCAATTCTGTGAAGGATGAAAGAAGTGAAGAAGCTATAGAAGAAAAGTTTGAAGCTAGCAGAGATTGGTTCATGAGGTTTGATAAAAGAAGCTGATGTAGAAGCTACAGCAAGTTATTCAGAAGCTCTAGCTAAGAAAAGGATGAAGTTGGCTATGCTAAAGAATGCAGAGAAACAGCCTTATACTGGAAGAAGATGCCATCTAGGACTTTCATAGCTAGAGAGAAGTCAATGCCCATATTCAAAGGACACGCTGACTCTTTTGTTAAGGGCTAATCCAGTTGGTGACTTTAAATTGAAGCCATTATCTCATTTACCATTCCAAAAATTTTAGAGCCCTGAAGAATTATGAGGCATCTACTCTGCCTGTGCTCTATAAATGGAAGAATAAAGACTGGATAATAACACATTTGTTTATAGTATGCTTTACCAAATATCTTCAGCCCATCATTAAGAACTACTGCTCAGAAAAAAAGATTTCTTTCAAAATATTACTGCTCATTAACAATGCACCTAGGTCCCCAAGAGCTCTGATTGAGAGGTACAAGGAGATTAACATCATTTTCATGCCTGCTAATGCAACATCCATTCTGCAGCCCATAAATTGAGTAATTTTGACTTTCAAATTTTATTATTTAACAAATATATTTCATAAGGCACTAACTACCATAGATACTGACTCCTCTGATGGACCTGGGCAAAGTAAATTGAAAACCTTGTGGAAAGGATTTAACATTTTAGATGCCATTAAGAACATCTGTGATTCCTGGACGGGGGTCAAATTATCAACATTAACAAGAGTTTGGAAAAAGTTGATTCCAACATTCATGGATGACTTAAAACAGTTCAAGACTTCAGAGGAAGAAGTAACTACAGGTGTAGTAGAAAGCAAAAGAACTAGAATTAGAAGTGGTGACTGAATCGCTGTGATCTTTTAACAAATAAGTAGTTGCTTCTAATAGATAAACAAAGAAAGCAGTTTTTTTGGAGATACAGTCTACTCCTGGTAATAATATAGTGAACACTGTTGAAATGACAACAAAAAATTCAGAATATTCTATAAACTTAGTTGATAAAGCCACAGTAAGGTTTCAAAGGATTGACTCCAATTCTGAAAGAACTTCTAGTGTAGGTAAGATGCTATCAAAAAGTCTTACACGCTACAGAGAAATCTTTTGTGAAAGGAAAAGTCAATCAATGCAGTGACCTTCATTGTTGTATTATTTTTAAAAACTGCCACAGCCACTCCAACCTTCAGGAACCACCTCCCTGATCAGTCAGCAGCCATCAACATTAAGATAAGACCCTAAGTCAGCAAAAAGATTATGACTTGCTAAAGGCTCAGATGATCATTAGCATTTTTTAGCAATATTTTGTAAATTAAGCTACATACATAGGGTATTTTTAGATATAATGTTATTGTACATTTAATAGACTACAGTATAAACATAATTTTTATATGTACTGGGAAACCAAAAAATTTGTGACTTGCTTTATTGTGATATTCACTTTACTGCAGTAAGTGGAACCAAACCCACAAAAACTCTGATATATATCAGTAGTTAAGAAGTGTCAAAAACAAGTAAGCACAAGAGACAATTGAAACACTTCAAGGAAAAAAAGATAAGAGAATCTAAGTTAATGTTAAATAATAAAGGCACTATCTTTATACTTCACTTCATATGTTATCAATAGATAATTTCTAAAAGTAGACACAGTTTTTAAAAATTCAAGTATTCCTTGGATACAATTTATTCCTAATTATCCTAGCCAATGAAGGAACAGCACTGGTATGACTAATAACATAATAAATCACCTAAAATTCATTCATACATATACTCATATTTACGCAAAGTTTCTTTCCCGGATTGGGAAAGTTAGCCTTATATTCTGATAGGTGTTGGGACTGTTAGGTGACCTGGGTCAAAGACTCCATTCACAGATAATTTTTTTTTTTTTTTTGAGACAGGGTCTTACTCTGTTGCCTGGGCTAGAGTGCCATGGCATAAGCCTAGCTCACAGCAACCTCAAATTCCTGGGCTCAGGCAATCCTCCTGCCTCAATCTCCCCAGTAGCTGGGACTACAGGTATGCACCACCATGCATGACTAATTTTTTCTATATATATTTTTAGTTGGCCAACTAATTTCTCTCTATTTTTAGTAGAGATGGGGTCTTGCTCTTGCTCAGACTGGTCTCAAACTCCTGACCTCAAATAATCCTCCCGCCTTGGCTTCCCAGAGTACTAGGATTACAGGCGTGAGCCACTGTACCCAGCCCATTTACAGATAATTTAAAATTGATAATCTATGAGTAAAATTTAAAAATCATTCTTTTAATGCCATAAAATAATGTTTCTTTTACTTTTTTTAGTCAAACTGCATTTTTACTACTAACTTCAAATAGTAGCCTTTATAAAAGAGAATGATTGAAAGAAAATGACTTACAATGACACATGTTGGGACTTCACGAAGAGAATATTCTGCTTTATTAGGAAGATCTTGATTGTCTACCAGCTCATAAACAACCGGATAGGATAACAAGTTCACCAGTGCTAGAAAAGACTACACGGAGAGAAAGAAAATAGTCATTTTTAAATGGTTCATTTTTTTTCAACCATATCCATGGAAAAATCATTAAAGTTTTATAGCTATATGACTGTAGGGGCTACTTTAATTTTTTAAATAAGCCTAATTATAATTAATTCACATAAATATGAAATACCTACATATATGGTAAGTATAAAAAAGCTAACATGAATACCAGTAATCTACAAGCTGACAATGCAGACATAACAACTGTTATAGAACATAATACGTGAAGTTTGGAAAATGTTTTAAAATGCTATGTATCTCTTGCAAAGTTTCGATCTGACATAAAAATTCAATAATCCAACTTTTTCACTCTTTGCACTGTTATACCTCATATATAAGAGAATAATAGAGACTGTACAGCAAGATATTAAATTCTATATATTCTTGCCCTTAGGCCACAAGGCTATATCTTTTAACTATATTCACTAAAATCCCACTAACATAAATATTATGGTTAATTTTAAAATTCATGGCTTTTCCTATCAGAACCAGCTTATTTTCAGGTACGATCATACTAAGTAACTTTCTCCACAAAATTTTTAAGCTCCCTGCTCTCATTTCCTCTTATTAAAAAGCAACTATAATATTTTTCTCAAGCACATTTTATTCTTTTGACTCCCCAGCTCAAATGCATTCAGTGGCTGCCCATCACCAAACATCAAATCTAAACTCCTGAGCTGGACGTTCAAGGCACTTTACTAATTGACACTTTTCTTCTCTTCACAATCTCAAAAGCCTCATTTCCTATTATTCCCCACATGAATTCTCCACTTTGGTCAGTCAAATCTGCCTGTGGTCTCCTTTAACTGACTGCCACCTATACATGCTTTCTTATCCTACTAATATGCTCCTCCCACTTACTCATTATCCTACTTTCTAAGCTTTCCAAAGTTTACCCCAACATCTCTTCTAAAGACTTTCCAATTAACTACATGCATATCTACAAAGCCCTATATTCTGTCAATACTCTTTTGTTTGTATTATAGTAATTGTGCTTACTTGTAATTATTAAGTTTTCTGTGTGTCATTTTCTAAAAATTTTCACTAGACACAGAAAAACTGAGAGTAAGACAAATTGATAATTTTCACTAGAATCAGAAAATTGAAAACTTAGAAAATTAACAAGAACATTTAAGTTCAATCTCTCATTTAACAGATGAATATACTTGAGGTCAAGTGAAGTGGCTTGGCCAATGACACACATTCAGAAAGTTGGTTGCAGAAATAATCTGTATTTTCTTATTTCCATGCGTAGGTCACTCATTACAAATCACAATATAATCTTCATACACTATTTAACACTGTCACCCTTATTCTACAGTCCTAGCTTGAGGACCCAGAAAAATCAAGTCCATTTTATATCTCTTCTCTTATTATACCAAATGCAGTGTTATTCAACAAATAACAGTACCTATATAGTGAATAATTTTGACACATAGTAGTTTTCAACAAATGTTTCCAGTTAAAAAATGAACTCACATTAAGTTTTTTAAAAGTATCCATATTTTCTCCCTAATATGATATTCCATAAAATGAAGATGGAATTTCTAACCAATTTAAAAAGAAAATAATCCATGATTTAAGGCTAATATCTGCTTGAATAGCAATAAACAAATCATAAAGAATAGCTAAATAAATGTAATAAATTAGTTGTCATTTACTAAATGCCTACTAAAAGAACACTATGCAAGAAGTATGCACTATGGAGAGGAAAAAACTAATTAACAAGGAAAGAATGTTTGAAGAATATGTCTATTAATTCTCTCTATATATAAATTGCAGGGAAAACACAGGGAAACTACATGGTTCACAGCCACCTAGGAAACCACTGTATAAACTAATTCACTAATCACCATGTACTGACTAGAAAGATCATTAATAAAACAGATTTCATTATACCTTTATGTTTAATCCAATTTAGTTCATCCTGAGACTTGACAGATAAGCCAAAAAAACACAAGCTAAAAATTTCTTTATAAATTGAATATGCATTTCATAATGTTCTTAATATTAATCCAGCCATGTTTAGATACTATCATAAATAATCCTCTTTTACGTTTAAAGTGTCTTTCCTATGTATTATAACCATGACAGATTACAAAAAAAGTTTAATGTTCACTTTGATAGAAAAATACATGTGATCTTTATAAATCACATATAACAACAATATATTGAGGATTTTTGTATTATTTATACATGAAGAATTCAATTGGTGTTTATAGAGCCTCCCTCCACCTAAGAAATAAAACAATTTGGACTACATATAATCATGGTAACATCTGATATACTACTCCAAACAAATTCAGTAGAACGTTAGGTCAAAACAACTAGACAACTGTATTTGAACAAAAACAACCTGAACAAAATTTTAAAAAGATTAAGAAGATTTCAGTAACTTGTTTCTAGAACAAACAATTCATTTCTCACACACTGGGAATTTTAAAGACATTAGCCTACTATAAAATTGTGATGTTCTAAGCATTTCTGGAACTAAAAGTATTTACAATGTAATCATTTGTTCCTACAAAAATATTATAAATTTTTGTTAATATCAAACATTAATTATCCTAAAATTCATAGTAGCACAAAACATAAATCTACTTCATCAATTTTTGAAGAGGAGAATAAGGTTTTGTACAATAGTGATAAGGAAACTAATGGAAAGTCAAATGTTTGATATATTTTAAGACTAAAGCAGAAAATTAATTCCCCAAGCCAAAAACTATTCTTATGAATTACAAATCTTTCAGGTTGATAATGATCATCTATTCGCTTATTTATTCACTCAAAATATTTTAATGCCAGCCACTTATTAGGAATTGTGCCAGAGGCTAACAATAAAAATGTGAATAAAGGAATGGTCCCTGTTCTCAAGGACTCACAGTGTAAAGCTGGACAAATACACTAAGAAATCATTTAAAACAGTGATCAAAATGACCTGATGGTACTGCTTTATGGAAAGGAATAGGGAGTTTTAAGGAAGATGACATTATAAAGCAAAGCAGGGAGACATGAGAGGTGACTCTATAGAAATATCAGGCATACAGACCAGGCAGAGATGAGCTATGTTAATAAGCTCTATCTTTATCCTGTAGCAAAAAGAAAAAACAAAGTGTTTTCAGAAAAGTAGTGGGAATTACATTTTAGATTTTAGATAAAATGCTCTAAAGGAGCTTGGTTTTGAAGGTAGATAATATTGGTGGGGGATAAATAAACAAGATTGGACTTGGAAGTTTTAAGCATGACAGAGATGTGTTACACTTATTATAGCAGGTGTATTTAAAACATGTTCAAGGACAAAGTAATCAGAAAGTTATTTAAAAAGGTAGTTTCAGGGAAATACAAGTCTGAAGAGGAAAGGTCAGTGAAGACAATGTGTAGTAAGGTAGTTTGGTGAAGAAGGGGCGATGGAAGACTAGATAATGATAATAGTATAACTGCTACCATTACATGAGAACTAACTCACTTTTGGCTAAGTACTATATTACTAATATTTATGCACATTACCTATTTTAATTCTCAATATGTACAACTGTAAGAAAATTATTATTCTGAGGGACAGTTGGCATCTGAAGCCAAGTCTGACTAACTCTAAAGCCTCTGCTACATTGTAAACCACCAGAAGACACTAGAGTGGCACTTAGATTTAGGGAGAGGATCTTTTGCTTGGTAGCAGGGGATGGCGGGGAGGCACGGGTGGGGGGGATTGTGTTTGTTGTTGGATGAGAGAATCAAGCCATCTTCAGATAGATAGTTTTATATCTTTCTTTCCAATCTGTATGCCTTCTGTTTTTTTCTTGTCACACTAGGACCTAATGCAATACTAAATAAAAGTGGTTAAGAGTGAACTAAATTTAGGTTCAATATCTCCCCATTAAATATGATACAAGATGTATGTTTTTCAAAGATAGCATTTATCAGATTAAGGATTAAAGGGTATAACATTTTGTCAAATGCTATTTTCACATTTATTGACATAATCTTAATAGTTTTCTCTTTGTTCTGTTAATATGGTAAACTGTATTTTTATTTTGGAATTTTAAGTCAACTCTGCTGCATTCCTGGGATAAATCCCATTTGATCATAACAAATGGTGCTTTTATATAGTGCTGAATTCAGTTTGGTAATATTTTATTAAATATTTTTGGTATATACTCACCAAGATAGAGATCTGTAATTTTCTCTTTTTTTGGTAATGTTTTTGTGTCATTTCTTTATCAGTATATTATGCTGGCCTCAAAAGTTGGAAAGTGTTTCTTTCCTCTACCTGTTTTTCTTAAAAAGCTTGCGTAAAATTGGTATTCTTTCTCCTATAAATGTTTCATAGAATCCACAGGTGAAACCATCTGGTTTTCTTTGTATGAGATGGCTCTTCATGACAAATTCAGTTTCTATAACAGATACATAGCTATTCAGTTTTTCCTTTTTTATTGGATCAGTTTCAGTTTGGTAAGTGTATTTTTAATAAATTTTCCAGTTTTATCTTAGTTGTTGAACTGATGGCCTAAAGCAAATCATAATATTCACTTATTATCCTTTAATATTTGTGGGATTGTCAGTCATACCAGTCATACCCCTCTTTCACTCTTGATATTGGTAATTTGGGCTCTCTTATTTTCTTGGTCAATCTAGAGAGGGGTTTATCAATTCTAATAATCGTTTCAAAGAACCAAATTTTAGCTTTGTTAGTTTTCTCTAGTTTGGTCTGTCTCATTGATTTCTGCTCTAATCTTTATTATTTTCTTTCTTGTATTTGCTTTGGATATGATCTGCTCTTCTTTTTTTAGTCTCTTTGAATGAAAACTTGAGACATTAATTTTAGATCTTTCTTATTTTCTAATATAAAAATTAAAAGTTTAAAATATCCCTCTTAGCAATACTTCAGCTATATCCACACATTTTGATATTTGATATTTTCATTTTCATCCAGTTTGAAATATTTTCTAATTTCCCTTGTGATTTCTTCTTTGAGCTACAGGTTATTAACATTAAGAAGTGTGTTATTTAATTTCTAGATATTTTTCTAGTTTCTAGCTATTGATTTTTAATTAATTTCATTGCAGTTACAGAACATACTTTGCATTATTCCAATCATCTTATGTTTATTTAGGCTTGCACTTCATCCAACACTCTTATCTTTGTGAGCATGCCAGGTATCTTTGAAAAGAATGTGTATTCTGCAATCACTGAGTAAAATATACTATAAATATTAATTAGATCAAGTGATTAATAGTGTCATTCATATAATGTAAGTCTTTACACATAATCTGTTGATCTATCAATTGCTAAAAGAGATGTTAAAATCTTCTACTCTAATTGTAGATTTGTCTGTTTCTTCCTTAAATTCTATTTTAATGCTTCAAATATTCTATTTTAATGCTTCAATCTCTGCTATTAGGAGCATATCGATTATGTCTTCTTAGTATATTGACCATATTATCATTCTGAAATGTTTCTTTTAATCTAACATTTCTTTATATCTGACACTATATAATGCCATGCCAGTCTTCTAATACACACTGTTTCTCTGTATATATTTTTCCATTAATTTATGTTCAATTTATCTGTGTCTTCAAAGTAAATTTCTAAAGATAGCACATAATTGGGTATTCTTTTTTAATTCACTCTGACAATCTCTATTTTAATCAGAATATTTAGTCTCTACATTTAGTGCAATTATTTATATGGATACATTTAGAACTACCATTTTCCTATTTTTCTTTTTCTCCCCACCCATTTTCTGTTCCTTTGTTCTTCACTCCACGCATATTTTTTTAGAATTTTAAAAATTTGTTAGCTAGATCTCTTTACATTATTTTCAGTGCTTTCCTAAGGAAGTACTATCCAATAGAACTTTATGTGATGATGGAAATATTAAATAATCTGAACTATACAACATGGTAGTTACTAGCTAAAGCGGAATTGAGCACTTAAGATATGACTAACGTAACTGAGGAACTGAATTTTTAATTTTAATTAATATGAATTTACATAGCCACATAGGGCTATTGTCTACCATACTGAACAACACACTATAGAGAGAGAGAAAGAGAAAATAGAAGAGATGAAATTAGACAGGCATGGTAGTACATCCCTGTAGTCCCAGCTCCTCAGTAGGCTGAGGCAGGAGGATCATTTGAGCCCAGAAGTTTGAGGTTGCTGTGAGCTAGGCTGACGCCACAGCACTCTAGCCTGGCCAACAGAGCAAGACCATCTTCCAAAAAAAAAAAAGAAAAGAAAAGAAAATAGAAGAAGTGGAACTGGAATGGAAGTAAATTTTTGAATATACCTTATTATATTGAAACTACATAACTGTTTTCCACAATTTAAAGGACAAAAAAAATTAGATCCCAAAGATAAAAAGAATCCTTAGGGAATAATATTTAGAGATTATAATTACAAGGTGGGCACTAGGACTGTTTACTACTATGAATTGTCATTGTTTCTGGATCTTTCAGTACATAGATTAGGAGAATACACAGTATATTTTAAAGAAAAAAAAAACTAATCTTTAGTTTATACGGACATTTCTAATACAAAGTCAAAGAAATTGAATAAAATCCCTGTAACCTTAAATTTGATTAGAAATATTTCCTAGGGATTAAGCAATATTGTGGGACCTTATGTAAAATTTAAGAACCCTGTTACCAGACAGATTCATATACCATATACCATGATACAATTATCTTGTCCTTTATGCCAGCAGTTCCCAATGTTTTTAGCACCAGGGACCGTTTTCATGGAAAAAAATTTTTCTACGGATGGTTGTGGGGAGGGATAGCTTTGGAAAGGTTCAAGAAAATTACATTTATTATGTACTTTATTTCTATTATTATTACATTGCCATATATAGTGAAATAGTTATAGAACTCACCATAGGTTGGGGATCCCTTCTTTATGCTATAGGTGTCATAATAACACCTCTAAGTACAAGAGAAATCCCACTATATCATAATTTTGTTTTAAATATTTATAAATATTTAAAACAATTAAAAGAAAAAAATAAAAGGCTTTTATACTCACTTACCTATTTGCAATTCCTTCTTTCCACCCTGAAAATCCAAATACCCATCTAATATTATTGTCTTTCAATAGGAAGAACTTCCTTTGGCATTATTTGAAATGCAGGTCTGCTGACACTAGCCTTTGTTTATTTTTAAATTTCTTTCTTTAAATATTGAAGTATGCTTTTTCTGTATGTAGAATTCCAGGTAACTGCTTCTTTTTGTTTTTTCCTTTCAGCACATTAAAGGTGTTCTATTGCCTACCAGCCCCCACTGTTTCTAATGAGATAGTAGCAAACTTTTCTGCTAATCCTCTACATGTAATGTGTGATTTTTCTAAGCCTTCTTTCAAGATTTTCTATTTATCAGGTTTTTTTTAAGTTTCTCTATAATGAGCCTTAATGGGTATTTCATTTTATTCTCTTTTCGTAATCCTCCTTGAGATTCATTACATTTCTTATCTTTAAATTTGTACCTTTCAATAAATTTGGAGATTTTTAGCAATCACGTAGTCAAATATTTTTCTGCTCCATTCTCTCTTACATATTTCTGGTAAACCAATTAGATACATGTTAAACCTTTTGATATGGTCTCATAAATCACTGAAGCTTTTCTTTTTTTCATTTGCTGTTCCTTAGAATGTATAGTTTCTATTGACCTGTTCTAAGTTCACTGACAATTTCTTCTATCATGTTCAAATATTCTGTTAAGCCCATCTAGAAATTTTTATTTCAAATACTTTTTTTAATTCTAGAATTTCTATCTGGTTCTTTTATATAGTTTCTATTTCTTTACTATGATTTCTAATTTGTTCATTCATAATATTTTCCTTTATATTCTATTTATAATAACAACTTAAAATTCTTCATTGCATAATCTCTATTGGTTACCTTTTTCTTGAATATGAGTCATATTTCCCTTTTTCTTTATATGTCTAGTAATTTTAAATTGCATACTATACACTGTGAAGATATGCTATAGAGATCGTGGCTTCTGTTATATTACCCCAAAAAGCATAGATTTTTAATTTAGCAGTTACATTGGCTGAACTTGAACTCTAAACTCTGACATGAGTGGTGAGCAGCATCTCATATCTCTGTGAAGTTCACATGCATAGTCGAATGTTGAGCAAAATATATACACAGAGTTCAGAGTGACTTCCTGTGACTCTTTTCCAGGGCACCCAGTTTTCCATTATCTAGGTGCTGTATAAACCTAAACTTAGCATTCTGGTTTTTTAAGCTTTTTCAATTGTGGATTTCTATCTATGGAGCACCAACTGGTTCTTGCCATTAATCAACAATCTGTTAAATCCAGAATCTCTCAGGCAATACCATTCTCTTCATCTATACATTAACTCTCCCTACCCCATTTTCTGCCTATTTTTGGTCATTCCAATGCTTTTAACTACTTGATTTTTAAATTATTTTTCCAGAGTTTAAAAGTATTTTCTGTAAGAATGAACTAGTCCACCATTACAGAAAGAGAAACTTCTGAAATGTTAGAGATTTTTGGTTTTGTTTTTTAAAATAATTTCATGACAACTTTTGAATGAAAATTGTCCAGGTTGCCAGTAAGTCAAAGTTAAGTTAGGAATCATCACTTCATTTTAGTGAAATTCAGAGAATATGTTATATATATAAAAGCCACTGCATTAGAACATAGTACAGGTACTTCAAAAAATTTTCTCACATTACTTTAAATGACAGCATCTTCTCTCTGCTACTTTCTTTAAATAATCCTATTTTCTATTAAATTCAAGCTCAACAGCAAAAAGCTTCTTCGATTTTTATTTTGGTTGTTGGTTTTATTTCAGTGATTTGTCTGTTTTTGCATACTATTCCTGGTGCATTATTACTCTTTATTAAAGGAGGAAAACTAATAAAAATTATAAGGGAAAAGCATTCTTGCAAAATATTATTCCCAAGGAAGATTGGCATTTTTGTTGTTCACTAAATTCATTTTGAAAATAAAAAATAGTTTGGAAGTGAAAAAAGAGGGGAAAGACTTACATAAGAAAGTCTGCTGGTTGTAACTAAATATAGATAAAGTATGGATGAAATCATTTCTGTGAGATACATTTTCAAATCTGTATACTATTATATAGATAAATCAATTCTCACCTTTTGACAGCTTCGATCAATAGGATCCACTGGAGTAGATCTCGGATGGATTACTCTAACATCATCTCTTCCATATTCCAGGTTGGACCATAATTCAGTTATAAGTGCATTAATAAATCCTAAGAAAAATTATTTTACATATTTACAGCATAATATTTCTTTAGATTATAAAAAGATATGATTATTGCTCTGACAAAATTAGTCTACTATGACAGAAGATACAAACTTCCATCTTATATAAGAAATAATCTCTTGGTAGAAATGATAATTGCTATCGTTAATCTAACATAAGATTCTGTAATGACTGAATTCTGAGAGACGACTTCCCTGGAAGACTGCTGATTTTTGAGACTTAGTTTTTATCCTTGCACCAATAACTTCTGAGCACATTTTTCTGAAAAATAATAAGGCTTATACTGTGTTCCGCAAATGACCTGACAGCGTAAGGCAGCCTGAAAGGTTGTATGTTTAAAGGATGACAGAAGAAAAGGAAATATCAGGAGGCAGAGCAGGCACCGAGATAGTTATATTACAATAAAGGAACATAATTACAACACTATTACTTTCTTTGTAATCTCATATGTTTAAGAAAATTCTGCATATCACACTTTTACCTCAACACAATCTATAAATTTTCATGAGTAAGATCTATATAACTAAATGAAAATGAGTATTAAACTGATTAAATTCTTCTATGAAAAATCAAGTCATGAAAATTTGTAAAAGGATAACATCTAATCATTAAATAAGTTCCTAATAACAATATTAGAGCAGAAAGTGTCCTCTGGTATAACAGAAAAAAATATGGGTTCTAAAATAAAGAATATCTGAGTTTTAATTCCAAACCCACCAGTTTATTAATTGTATATCGTTACAAAAATCCCCTGGCTTCTTGGGGGGATTCAGTTCCCCCATTTGAAAATGGAAATAATAATGCTACATTCCACGGTTTCCATATACATATAAACTTCCTAATATAGTATCTAAGACATCATAGGAGCTCAAGCAGCAGAAGTCTTTCTTCTTTTTTTTTTTTTTTGTTTTTTAACCTTACTCAATGCAGAGTGATCTTCTTTTAACCTATGAAAAACTACATTTCACCTTCTTATAAAAAGTTTGAGACTATGAAGCTCAAAACCTTAATGACTTGACTAAAGATCAGATCCAAAATTAAATCTAGTCTCCAAATGCTTCAATTAATGTGCCCTGATTACTATGCTATGTGGATTTTATTCTAAGAGTAAAATACATGGTTCAGTTTAGAACAATTTTTGCCAAGAAACATGTTTTATAATACAAGTGGTCCAAATTAGTTCAGCTAAAATAAGAATTTAAAATACACTATAGGAAAATATTTTCATTTAAGGAGAAAATCTATTGTGATTACTGATGTTATTATTCAACTCTAAGCCTTGAAAAATATTATCAAAGCATCTTCATTAGGGATCATATCCTGTTCAGAGAGCAGATAACCTTAACATATGACATAATAAATTTCCAGTGTTTTAACTTCTTAAAAATCCAATTGATAATAAAGAATACATACTGACTGTAAACTTCAAAGATAGTTCGAAAGCTAAGTGGTGAGACAAATGCTTTCAAGAAGGAAAGAAGAAGAAAAATAATAGGAAATTATACATATATATGTGTGATAACTATCAAAAGTGTAAATTCTGATGCGTCCTTTAAGATGTGACTGTATTAAGAGGATGATATCTTTCTGATTTATAAGATCAGGAGGATTCTTAAACCATCAAGTTTGTTTCAGTTTAATCCATTATGTGCCACTGTTCTGAGGAAAGAGAATAATGATCTGTATATTTCAGAGAAAAAAAAAGAAATATCTCATGGAATTTGATGGAAGAAGACAAAAAAGAAACCCTGTAACTTTCTTTTACATAAGGTCTAACATGATAAATAGAACTATAGAGTAAGTATCTTGATAGGTGATCACATCAATTAAATTTTCTGTTGGCTTCCTCATTTAAAATAACTATAATATTAATTAAAAGAAAAAAACTTACCTGAATTTTGTAGTGCTATGGCTCCTGCTGCTGTTGATGCTACTTGTGTAAACAAAACTCCATAGCCAAACTTTTTATGCCTGCTGATCTAACAACATAAATAAGGTACAGCAATGAGAAGCAAGAAAACATTGCATGCTAATATTTTATACATGTTATATGTAGAGTTACATTTTTTTTTAGATTGGCATACTAGATATTCCTTCAAGATGATAAGAACAGCAAAACCAAACTCAGAAAAACATTTTTAAAAGCATACCTAAGATCCTAAAAAGCCCAAAAGTCTAGGGATATTTATTACGACAGAAAAAAGTTGAATACAACTTAGTGGCCTCTAACTGTTTAAAGGTTAAATTATATTGTAAATTTTACTTAACAGTAGAATACAGAACTCCTCTAAAAATATTTGTTTATTTTAAAATGTGAGATAACAAATTTAGACTCAACAGGTTTCCCCACCACCGGAAAGTTCCACCGAGTTTCAGTTTATAAAGATGTTTGATATCATATTTATAAGACACCTGGATGATTAACTGAATTTTTTCAATTCCTTCTGGGAGTTTGCAATTCTTTAAATATTGCCACAGACACCAATATCAACTCTGTAATGTTTTCCTTAAAAAAAAAATCAAGTTAAATATTACAATGCTATATGGCTTTTTAATTGAGGCTTAATAACTTCTTCATGCACAGAAAACAAAATAACGTTCTTAATGGCTTTTACAACAAAAATTCCTTTTGCCTGTGGCAGATGGTAATTCATACCTGTAATTTTTTTGCATATTGGCTGAACATAAATGTCACACATTCATTGATGGCACCTGTTCTTTGAAGAAGTAGTAATCCTTTGGGGGTGGCAGCAAAATTTAATAAATCATCTAACAAATTCTCTTCCCAAGCCATACTGAAACAGGTAAAAGAAAGGTAGAACTTTCTTTAGTATACTTAAAACTGAAAAGAATCTCTCAGCTTAATACTGCTGATAATTAAAGCTACAGAGTATACACTGGTTGCAAATTACTCAAGAAATGTTTAAAAATAAGATAAAAGTCACAGTTTCTTTGTTAGTGAAATCTTTTGTTCTTACATATTCTATACCAATAATTTTCCTTCACTGAATTAATCAAATATTAACTTCATATGTCAGTATGTTTATTATACCTATGTTTTCTCATCCATGCCTTAATTTCATTCTGTTTTCCTATCATAATTCTGCTACTCCTAGATTCCCCAAGCCTCAACTCTCCATTATTTCCATACTTTCTTTTCATTTTAAAGTATCTATCTTCTGACTTTCAAAAGTATATGATACATATTATACCTTTTTTATTTCCATAGACTAATTTATTTTACTTTTGGGGAATGATATTTTTTTCTCAGAACACTTCTATAAGGAAAGCCAACAACTTTCCCCAGAAAAACAAACAAACAAAAAAAAACACAAGACTTCGAAGAGACAAGAATGGAAGGAATACTTGAAAAACATTGTGTTCTACAAATATATACATAATTATTATTTTTCAATTAAAAATTTTAAAATACTGAGAATTTTCTACAATTAAGGATATAGATTAAAAGATCATTCAAAGTATCATGCAGGATAAACTTAAATCACAGAAAGGGCAAACTTCAAAAACAAAAAAAAAGAAAGAAAGATGTGACCTAAAAAAGAAATACAATTATACTGACAATAGATTTATCAGTTACCATCTATTTCAGATGGCAATGGAGTAATAGCTTCAGATATTGATGAGAAATAATTGTCTATCTAAACATTTATACCCAGATAAACTACCATTTAAGAGTGACCATGTGTGTTTGGAGAGGATAGTATCCGTATAGCCCGGAAGGAGGACAGATACTTTAAGATATAAAAAGATAAGGGCATTTTACTAACCTTTAATCTTAAAGAATAATTAAAAGATAACTGATTAGCAACTTAAAAATATACTTCATATACAGAAAAAAAAAAAGTAAGCCCATCAGAAAGAACAGGCCACAAGTTTCAAAAAATAGATTTAAAAAAGTATCAGGAAATTTAATATTTGATGGTACAAAGAAATAGTGAGTATAACTATAATAAGACTGAGAATTATGGAATGTTTAGAGTATCAATGACTAGTCAAAGCGTGCTGAAAACCATGCTGCATTGCAAAATGTGATACAAATTACTAATTACTTTGTACTTTGTTTTAAAAAAGATGCAATTAAGTATATACATTGACATCTTTAAAAAAAAAATACAACTTATAAATTCAAAACCAGTAAAAAGAAGTAAACCAGTAAAAATTTTATCAACCTAAGATAAATGAATAAAGGAGGAGAAAAGTAAATAAACAGAAAATACAAAATAAGAGAAATATAAGTCCCAAAAATCACAAAAATGAAAAAAAACCTAAACACGTCTAATACAAAAAATAGACTTACAGATTAGATAAAAACACAAAATCTTTTCTTTCTACTCGAAATGGTAGAAAGTAAAGGGATTGGAAGAGAACTATGTATAACAGATAGTACTGATTGGCTGATGCAACTCCCATCTACAACCCTTTTTCACCAATCCTATCCAACCAGAGGTGGTCATATGACAAATCCAATAAGATGTTCACAAAAAATCTAGTAAGAGATGCCTTTGCTAAATAAAAGACAAGGCATCATGAAAAGAAAGCATATGGCTCTACCACTTTCCTGTAGAAAGCAGCTGCCAAGTCAAGGTTGGCTACCCACTGTCCAACCTAGAGGGCAAAAAGCATAGATTAATGATAAAAAAAAAAAAAAAAAAAAACAAGACAAAAGGTGACAGGGTCTCAAACAACATCAATAAGCCAATACATCCTGCCTAAATCGTAACCTCAAGACTTCTTGTATTAAGAAAAAGCTTTACTGAGTTATCTGCAACCAAACACATTCTTAATACACCATTCAAATAGTAAAGCAAAATGGGTTTAGCAATAGTTATCCTACAATATAAAATTTAAAACAAAGTAAAGCAGTAATAATTCATGAGAGACATTATACAATAAAAGAAAAAGTTAGCAGGAAATAACAGCGAACTTTTCTGTTCCTAACAGCACAGAATGTTTATATGTTAAAAAAACTCCCAGAATTACAAAGAGAATTGGAAAAATCCACTTTTATAGTGAGAGATTATATATAAACAGACAAAATATTGGTAGAGATATTATAAGTTTTAATAACAAAATTACACACATACAAAAAAATAAGCTTCCAATGAAGAATATATAGCTTTTTCAAGCAAACATATTTTTTCAACTGATCTTCTAGTAGGTCACAAAGTAAAATCAACCTAAATGAATACATATCATGCCACCCATGTTCTACAGAAAGAATATATGATTCTAAGGCAATAATAAAATAAAATAGTAAATACAACTATGTTTGAAAACTAAAAATGCATTCCAAATATTTCATGAATTAAAGAGTAAAAATAGAAATTTCAAAAAATATTTAGAACAGCTTAATAATGGAAATGCTACATATCAAAATGTCCTAATTAGTATAGCTAATGTCGATTGTTTTTCTCAGTAACCGTTCTCAATCCCTTTTCACTTATTTTCCTCCACTATAAATGTGAAGGAAGGAGAGAAAAAAAGGAGGGCGGAAGGAAACAAGAACATTAATAAAACCAAAACCTAGTCTGCATAAACTAATGTAATAAATTGGTCAAGGTAGGAGAAAAGTGCCAAAAAATACTAAGAATCAAAAAGGAGAAATAATTATAGCTGGAGAACAAGATTTTTTTAAGACACACAAAAATATTTTGAACAGATTTACAATAAAAGTGTAAATATACCAATATGAGTAATTTTATTTTTTAGGAAATATAATCAAAAGTGACTCAAGCAGAAATAGAAAGTTTGAATGAGTCATTAGCCATTAATGAAAATGAATCAATAAAAAGTCTACCTAGCACTCTGGGAGGCCCAGGAGGGTGGCTCCTTTGAGCTCAGGAGTTCGAGACCAGCCTGAGCAAGAACGAGACCCCTGTCTCTACTAAAAACAGAAAGAAATTAGCTGGACAACTAAAAGTGTATAGAAAAAAATTAGCCCGGCATGGTGGTGCATGCCTGTAGTCCCAGCTACTTGGGAGGCTGAGGCAATAGGATTGCTTGAACCCAGGTGTTTGAGGTCACAGTAAGCTATGAAAGTGCTACTGCACTCTAGCCCGAGCAAAAAAACAAAACAAAAAACAAACCAAAAAAAGTCTACACTTTCAAAAACAAAACACAACACAACAAAACAAAAAGTCTACATGACTCTTTCCAAATAAAAGAAAACACAGGCAAAAAATTCATAAGTTAGATCACTATATGACATGAAAAAATATACATAATTCTGGAAAATAAAAGAGATGACATGTTTTAACATATCTTTTCTGCAACAATCTGTTTAATTCTCCTTCGCATTATAGTAATACTTTGAATTTTTGATACTTTGAATTTTTCGAAAGGGGAAGAAAATCCAAGCCATTGAATTCCATTTATTGCCCTGTTCCTTTGGGGGAGAGGCAATGGCAAGAATCACACTTCTTCACACTTCTTTGGTAGCTTATAAAAACACCATTCCCTGAGTGGCCAGATATTATAGTGGGTTCAATACTCTTGTGGAAATTAAGTTTATAGTGCTTACTTTCTTTGGGATCACAGGCTGAGTTTGATACCCTCTGTTACTTTACCCTTCAGTTTTACCAGAGGCCCCTTGATAATTTGGTTAGGGTTGGCCTGGCATCTTCTGTTTTGCTCTGTAAATATTTTTCTGTATAGTCACCCTACTGATAGTCTCATATAGCTTGCAATCACTGATATCAACCAAATCAGCACTGTAGAAATTTTATTTGGGGTTTTGAATCAATGTCTAGATTTAAAGGACAGTAATCCCCTATGATAGCTACACAACAGCTTCTATCTTTTCTGTAGCTTTGTAAGCACCTATATATAAATAGAAGAACAAAAGGGGAACTTCCAAAATATATTATCTGAAAATATAAGATCAAAATAGCTAACATTAGTTTGTCAGAGGTATAAAAATATTCATCAATTAATTCTAGCAGATCACTCAATTTTTACCTTTATCATATCAATCTTAATCTTACTGTGGGTACTGCTTAGAAACTAGGGTCTTGGGTTAAGAGAAATTTCATTAATTCATTCATTCATGCATTTAGCAAATAGTTGTCAGGTGTCCACTATGTGCTGGCATGAAGCTAGTCTAGTTAACTGTTCCAGATCATTTTACACTCAAGTTTTACCAAACAGTCAAGAAACAAATAATGCTTATCTCATACCAACTATTTCACTTAAAGCAAAAAAACAAAAGACACTCAACTCTTTCTACAAGGCAATTTTATTGTGATGACACAAATAAAAATCAACAGTTTTATTCTATCAAGAACTTTATTAAACCTTTTGTTTTTCTAATATTAATATCAGATGTTGGGGAATCTCCTTTCCCCTAGCATTAAGTTTCCATGTGGAGCACATTCCCCAGTTAACACTGTTTACCTTTCTCCATCTAATCACCTATTCTTCCCTCACCATAGAAGAAGAAACCAGGGAGATTTGCAGAATGTCCTAAGCATGCTTGACTAAGCAATGTTTCTCCTTCAGTTCACTTCCTTTTTATGATCCAGCTTCCTATAGGGAGCACACATTCTGCTCTGACATACCACGTAGTTACGATAGATGGTGGTAAATTCTGCCTCTGAGAGAAGCCTATGGCTGTACACTGCTAATTGTGACTGGATTAAATCTGTCTAATTCTTGAGATCAATATTAGGAAGACTATGTTATCCGGTGTTTTGATTTGTTTGGCCTTTTACATCTGTTAACTGATACAGGAGGGAATAAGCGAGATATAAATTTATCAACTCTTTCAAGCTAAAAGTAATACTGACAGTAAAATATGTTAAATACATTAATCACAATCTCTCACTTCTGGCCTATAGCTCACACTATTTCTTCCACATATAATAATATCCCCCCACTTTTTTACACAATGAATATCCATGTATCCTTTATAACTAAGTTTGACAATAACTTCTGGAAAGGACTCCCACACAAGCTGGCTCCTAATGGACTCTCTATAAACTATGTCATATAAATGTAGCATACTATATTGCCAAGGTATATTTACTTATTTGTATTCCATAATATACAATATGCTCTCTATGGTCTATGAGTATCCTCACTCAGCAGAGCACTTGGTACAATACATAACTGAATAAATGAGTGGAAAATAAATGGATGAATAAAAATGAAAAAGTATAATAACAAACTATAATAGAGGATTTGAAAGAAAAAAATCTAAAAATTACTTAAAAATGAATTGCAGAAATATTTTTTCTCACTCAATGTAAAAAGCATAGCAGTTGATTTAAGTGACAACTATACTAGGAAAAAAATTATAGCAAACCTTTAGAGAATTAATTATTAGTTGAACCATTATCCTGTTAAGGCAATGCAGTAGGCTTTTAAATTGTTTTTTAGTTAAACTATACCTAACTAGAAAATAAGAAAATTCAACATTTCTTTAACAACCTTAAAGTTCTCCCTAATTGTTATCTTTTTAGACTATACCAACATTCAAATACACAGTAAGAAGAGAATCCAGGACCATATGTCACCAAACCTTAGTTTAAAATATTAATACATACATTTTTCCCCATTAATATGACTCCATATCCTATTGATATTTATAAAGAATCACAGAGACATCTAAATTGATATTGATTTAAATAACTTTCAATGCCAAAACCTAATTATTAACAAAATGTACTCCCAGTACATTTTGAAAAAATCATATTTTAAATACAAATGGACTTCACTGACACTTGAAGACATCTTATTTCTACTGAACCCTCCAGTTAGTTTTCCAATTTTAGTACTTGATAATTCTCCAAATTTTCTGGAAACACTCCAATAGGTCCGGTTTCCTAATTCAGAATGTAAATACAGGATGAAGCAGGTATAATAAAGACTGCTAATTTTTTTTAAAGGTTACAAGTACCATATGATCTCTAAAGTTCTTCCAGACTATAATTTTCCTTGAATCTGTATGTATTCATTTACCTTCCTATGAAACATTTTTGCTGTATTATTCTATTACATTTCAATGGTTTTAAAATAATTTCAGCAAATATAATAAATAGATGACTAATCAATTGTACTTACATGTTCTGAGATTCCTGGCTTGCTGAAGAAACAGAATCAGAACCCTCTACTGGGGTAGGAATTCTTTCTGATAGCAAACTTGTCTAAAAAATAACAAGTTATTTACGTTATTCTTTTTCTTACTGATAACACTACTCATAGAATCTCTTATAGTGCATTTTTATCCTTAATGTAATGAAAATCAAAATTAAGTTCTCTCCAAAATTTAAATTATTTGGGTATTAATATCATGTAAATAATTTCATTTATAAACCATATAAAATGGGTGAAAAAGACTTAGTAGTCCACTGATATATACTATACACAGCTATTGGCTATATTACGATCTCTAGTATCCATAATAAAAACCCAGCTATCCCTAAAAATTTCTTAAAAATAACTTCCAAAGCAGAGTGTTAGTTTATGCAAGGAAAATCTACCTAAAGTCTCTCCTACCAGAAGAAAAGACTTTGTTAAGTCTTAGAAATTTTTCCTACTGTGAGAGGAGGTACTGAAGTCAATCTGTGCCAAATGAAGAAGTATTATGTCCCTTAGAGTACTGTGATGCTAAAGAAGTCATATTTGCTCCAATAAACTATTATATCCATAATATAAAAGTACAATGGTACCTATATTTGAAATAAAGATTTGCAGGGAGGAAAAAGGAAGCTTGAAAATACATACCTTCTTCCACGCCTTTGCTATAGATTCATGCAAATTATAAGGAATTAACACCTGCAAGCCTTCACATGTACTATATATTTGACGACACACAGAAATAAAAGCTCCTTTAACGACAGGCAACATTTCCGATCCAGAAAAAATAGAAATATCTTCATCAAGAAGTTTTTTCGAAAACTGAGCAATTATATGAGCACCTGTAGGACTAAAAGATATACCCAAAAGTGATTCCAAGTTCATAAAATCTCAATTTCATAAAGCACTACCAAAAAAGCTAGTCTTGTCATAAAAACTCTTTATTTGCTTGGCTACCTTTCAGTCCTCCTCCAGCTTTTCTCAGACATGTCAATAATCCTATTCCCATCCATGTGCAGATGTCTAATAATGAGAACAGTTCCAGTGGAATGGAGAAAAATATATAGAGATAGAGAGGGTAAAGCAACTAAACTATACACTTCCAAGGTTATAGACCCCATGGGGCCATTCCCATATATGTTTAAGTATTCTCAATTTTCTACAGTAAAAACATAAGCCTAATTTCTCCATTCTTAGCACTTATCAACACGTTCCCCATCCCATTAACAGGATTTAGTTCCCCAATCTCAAAGGCTTAGACACTTTTAATAGCAATAATAGATAAGAATTTAATAAACGGTTATAATGTGCCAGGCACTGTTCTACACATTTTTAATGCATTAATTCATTCTTAAAATAACACTATAAAGAAGACATTATTATCCAATTTGTACAAATACAGGTAAACCTAACAGAAGTAACTTGTACAATATCACACAACTGGTAAGAGGACTCAACCCAGGCTTGTGTGGCTCTAGAGCAGCACGATTTTAATTATTTTTTTCTAGTTTTTCTTTTTTTAAACAAATAAAAAAAAATAATAACAGTAAGAAGTAGATTGAATAGGGTCCCGAATTGCCAATTATGAACATTTTGCCAGCCTTGTTTTGATCTATTTATTTCCTGACCTCTCTTCCCCGCCTTCATTATGAATATGTGATAAATCCAAGACACGTTATTTTACACACATCTCTAATAAAGTTTCTATTTTAAACAAAATTAATTAAATTTTTTAATATCTTCTGTTAGCCCATACCAAAATTCTCCTGATAGCATTAAAGATGTCTTTTTATGATAGGTTTGCCCAAATCAGCATTCAAACAAGTTCCATAGAGTGAATTAGCTTGTTGTGGTTATTTAGGCCCCTTATTTTCCTTTCTCCATGTCACTGATTTGTTGGAGAAACAGTTATTTTTCTTTATTTGGATAATTGCTTCACCATGGCATCACTTAACTGGTTTCTCCAGTTCCCCATATTTCCTATAAAGTGATCATTAGATCTAGAGGCTTAATTAGATTTAAGTTCAGTTTCTTTTATTTATTTTCCTTTTCGTCCTTGGTAAAATAACCTTATAGTTGCTTGCTGCTGTGTACCTCCTATTGCACAAGGTGCATATCTGGATGCCCCAATTTTAGTGCTGCTAAAAATCAGTTGGTGAGATCGTATCAGCTCAACCTTTTCATTAGGTAGCCCTCCCCATCATCGTTTCACCTAATAATTTTAATATCTATTGGTGATCATTTCCTAGATCTGCTATTTCACCAAGGATTACCAAATGGTGATTTTCCAATTAGATCATTTCTTTGCATTTATTAGCTGCTATGAAGAACTTTTCCTCAGTAACGTTTTAGATAACAGTTTATATAGGAAAGACTGGAAAAATGTTTAAATCTTATCAATTTGCAAAGTAATGAGTTATGCGCCCTAGCAACCTCAACAGGTAACTAATAAAATCTATTCTTGCTAGATTTTTTTTATTTCAGTAGCTTTTTAAACCTATGTATTTTTTATACATTTTATGTATTTCAATCCATTACAGTCATTATTTTTTTTTATCCTCAAATTACCCATCTTAAGCCAGTAGGAAGCCCCTTATGGTTAGCTCTGAGATACTTTTGACACTATCCCATTGGTCATAGATAGCTTCCTTGCTTTCTAGAATGGTGGGATATCTCATGATCATCCTCTACATTTCCTTAGGCCTCCAATCAGCCATTTATTCAAGGATTCCTGCCTCTTCTTGAACAAAAAGATCTTTAGAAACTACAACACAGATGACAGTTCATTATTAAGGAGCTGGCATTATTTCTAGGCCTTTTTAGTGGAAATGCTAAGAAAAACGTAACTTAAGAAAAAAAATAAGTTCATAATTTTATTTTCATTAAGAACTGAAGATTCAGGGTTTTTTCTTTAACTAGTTTTATACCTTTATCTTTTTTCTCTTATGTTAAAAATTTTACTTCCATATGACATTCACAGAAATACTTATTTGCTCTTACAATTATCCATAAGAGTTTCAAAATAACAACACCAAAATTACTTCTAAAGATTTACTGATTGTAGTTTAAAATTGTTTTAAAGATTTTTTTTCAGTAAGAATTATTTTTAATGGCTTAAAAATGAGTCTGTACAAAACCAGCACCTCCATTTGGTGCTTCCAGTCCACTGAGGGGTCTCAAAGGTTTCTTCCAACACTATCTCAGGTTAATCTGCTTCATTTAAGGATTTTTTAACCTTAGAATATATCTCACTAAAAAAAATTACAATAAAAATTAGATCACTTAAAGTAATTCTCTTCTCTGCAGGGATATGTCATTAACTTGATTGCTTGATAGTTAAGTTACTTATCCATTTGCTTATACATTTAAAAAACCGTGACTTCATTTTGATTTAGTTATGTATTCCATATAGTACGTAAAACAGCTACATGATTCCAAAGTCAAACCTAGGTACAATCAAGGAATAACTCAGATATCTTATTTCCACACCTGCCTCTCCTCAATTTTCTCCCCTTGCCTAAAACTAACCACTTTCATAAGTTTTGTTTGGCCATTCATCATTCCTTTTTAAAAATATAAACAAATGATTTGTTCATATTCTCTTCTATCATACAAAAGGTAGCAATCTATAAACATTCTGTGCTTTTTTTATTTCATTTAACAATATATCCTAAAGATAACTCCAGAGCAGCACACAAAAAGATTCCTAATTCCTTTTTACAGCTAGCTGCTCAGTGTTCCATTGTGAGACCAATAACTAGCTTTTCGTTACTGGACATTTTTGAGATGTTTCCAGTCTTTTGCTAATATAAATAATCAGAGCATGTACTTTTAACTGGACAAAAGATAATTTGTGTTTTATCTGTTTAACTTCAATGTGAGGGAGACTTTCTTTTAAAAAAAGAACCTAGAAATCATAAAGATAATAATTGGGAACAATATGACTACATGAAAGTTAGTAATGTCTGTATAGAAAGAAAACTTAAAATAGAGTTAAGCGGTGGACAACCAAAAGAAATCTTAGAACTCTAAACAAAGAGTGAGAGTCTTCCTAATTTTAAAAAAATTTAAAAAATTGTTACTGAGAAAAACTCTAGTAAATGTGGCAGATTAAACATGTACATTTACAACTGCTCCCTCCATAAATGGTAACATTCAAAAGTAAAAGGATTTTTTCATAAGGCATATAAGCCCCCAAAGACAAGAGAAGTAAAAGATGTGGCAGTAAAATTTTAGAACCTGAAAAGCAGAAAAAACAAGGAGTAACTCTGGGCATGGAAAACCTCAATCATCAGTCACAGTGTGAAAAACAGAATCAACGTGATTTATGTCATAGAACCATTATTTCTAGATTTGGGGACAAAAGTGGGACTCAAAACAGAAAAGCTGCCTGAAAGTCATTTAAGAAGTCATCTGACCCCCAGATTCCCTTCCACATTTCATTCAGCCAGTCCAATGTGCTCCTTAGAAGATAGGCAGATTTCTGAAAACAGAGACTAGAGGGTACCACAGGATTAAAGCAAAATTTATATCCTAAATCATAAGACCCATCACCACTTCCACCCAGCCTTCTCCTCCTGTGAGGCTTATACTCCTTAGGCAGCTAACTATAAGAGGCTTTTCTAGAAAATCTGACCAAAGAAAAACAAAGGAAAAAGCAAAGATACTGACATTATGTATTTACCCAACAAAATGCCATGACAAAGTTCCACCATAGTAAAGGCCATAAATTATAAGTCTCACTTTCTTGCAGTTTTCAAAAAGCTTTTTACTGACTATATTAGTCCATTTTGCCTTGCCACAGAGAAATGCCTGAAGCAGGGTAATTTATAAAGAAAAGAGGTTTATTTGGCTCATGATTCTGCAGGCTGTACAAGAAGCATCCAATCAACATCTGCTTCTGGTGAAGGTTTCAGGGAGCTTCCAATCAAAGTGGAAGGCGAAAAGGGAGCAAATATGTCATATGGCAAAAGAGGGGACAAGAGAGGGAGGAGGTGGTGCCAGGCTCTTTTACGCAACTAGCTCTGGAGCAAACTAGTAAAGTGAGAACTCACTGTACCATGGGGAGGACACCAAATGATTCATGAGGGATCTGCCCTCATCACCCAAACACCACCCACCAGGCCCCACATTCCACACAATTTCAACATGAGATTTGGAGGGGCAAACATCCAAACCATCACCAACTTTAAAATGTTTAAATAAACCTCTAATTTAAGAGACAGAGACTATGATAAGAAATACAAAAAGCAAATTAGAAAAAATATGACAGATGAAAACTTCATTATCTTCACAGAGGTAAAAGAACTTATTGTACTAACAAAACAAGAACAGGATGCTAAAATAAGAATGTGCTCTTCTAAAAAAAAAAAAACAAACAACCAAAAAACTTAATTGAAACATTCAATTTCAATAGAAGGGCTGGAAAATAAAGTGAAGGAATTCCCCATTAAAAAAAAAAAAGACAAAAAATGAAGTCTAAATCCAAATAGAATTTCAGAAAGCAAAAACAGAAGACAAGAAATCCAACTATTTCCCCTAAGTAAGAAGGCATAAATCTTCAGATTAAAAATGTCCATAAATATATATGCCAATTTAAAAGAGGCCCATCAAGTAAATAAAATGTCATCAAAAATCATAACATTTCAGAACACTAAAAGCCAAGAATAGATAAAAAAGCTTCCAGAAAGAGAAAAATGAAAAGGCCACCTCATAATGTTGATAAACAATGTTTCCAGGGTAAAAGCTATGTACAAGACCAAGGCAGAAACCAGTCCTGAATAAAGTAGGCCAAAAGAGTCAAAGACATATGTCTTAAATTAAATTTATAGAATTAATCTTGTACGTGGA